AAAAAAAAAAAAAAAAAAAAAAAAAAAAAATCAAGGGCAAGAATGACCAGGAACTATAAGTGGTTCAGCTAATCTGCAGTGGTCCTTGTACCTGGGGCGGACAGACAATGGGACTGAAAGATGGGCAGAAGCCAGACAATGAAGGCCCCAGAATATCCAGGTTAGTGGTTTGGACTTCATCTTGTAGCTAGTCATTGACCAGTTTTTAGCAGGGAACTAGCTAATGAGGAAAATATTTATTCAATAAGTGAATTAATATATTAGGATAAAATTTCTCAGACACAGATTTTTGAGAGCATGTCAAAATTTATTACTCATTAGGGAGTTAACAAGTAGATAATAAGACATGCCAGTCTGAAGTGACTGAGAAAGAAGTTGGTATATCCCACATAGGGGAAGGGATGTTTATATAGGTAGCTACACTGCTCCATGTAATACTGGCTTAGTTTATAGAACTTTAAAATGTAGGGGTACCACAGTTAGAACCATCTTCCCAGAGTTGTCAGATGAGAACCACTAATCAATAATAATAAGTAATACATCTGAGAAGCACAGGTTCAGCAAATTTATGTTATTAATCAGAGATTTCAAACAACAAGAGTTTATCCCCTGACAGGGAGCCAGTGAGCACTGAGGCCTAAAGGTCTGCTTTTTCTCCCAGGGCTCTCAATAAATTATGTCAGCACACATTTACAGCTGTCAAGCATACAATATGCTCTTTTCAGTTTGGGGATAATTTACCCCACTCAAATGGAAAATGACAACAAACCATCTTCATTAAAGATTGTAAGGGGGAAAACACAACTGTTTCAGAGCCAAGTCCAGCAGCCCTAGAGATAACAGGGGCTTCCCTGGGGCCCAAATAGAACTGCAACTTTCTTGAATCTTCTTAAAGAAAAGGAGTAAAGTGGCATAAGGGAAATGGCTATGCTTTAGTCAGGAGGAGGCTGAGGCAGCCATCCAGTGTAGCATGACTCAGCCTGGTTAGAGCACAGGCCCACAACTCCATACATTGTGCAACTGTGCCACATGAGGTGCATTAGGTGATCACTCACGTGAGCTAGTGCCTGGCTTGGAGCCACTATTGTCTGTAAAAGGTATAACTACCCTGCTGACCCTGTACATACCACACTCACCGAGGCTTGCGCCCAGAGAGAATATAAATCCATATTGAAACTCCCTACAATTCCTCCAGTGTTCTTTCGGCTGCCAGCCACTCATCCACCCACGGCCCTTGGTCCTCAGCTTGGGCTAGAACCCAACACTTGGTGTGACACTTGATGTAGCCAGCAGGATACTGAGATTTAGAAGTGACAACACCCCTCTTCCCTGAGATTGGGGTGATGCAGCTGAAATCACCTTCTAGCAGCCAAGCAGGCCATTCAGCAGGCACAAGCCCTTTGGATTCACATGCTCCAACTGCATTGTGAACTGGGCCCACACCTGTGCTGAGGTGATCAATATTTTCAAATGTTGGATCTGTACTGCCCTTCCAGCAGCAGCTCAGATGGCTTGGCCTGGCACATACATCCTGTGTCTGCAGAGAACTGGACATGGTTGGAGACCTGGGGTCCCATGGCTGACGCCTGGAACACAATGCACAAGCTTTGGACAAAGGATGCTGCAAGACCCACAGCACACTCATCTCCTGGCTGGCCCGTAGCGTTTATGTTGGGTGGAGCTGGCTAATGGGGGAACATGTAGTACCCCCAGCCCAGGCACTGTGGTGCATAGAGCAACACTGGGGTAATACCAGTGTGGGATGGGTACCCATCACAGCCCGTGTAAACATAACACAATGTTGTACCTTTATCCTGGATAATCAGCAGAACATAACAGCAGCCCTGCAAGGAGTCTCACAGGAGATTAAGGTAGTCAAGGACACCCTCAGCCTAGAGAAATGGCTGCGCTTTTAGTCATGAGTAGACCGAGGTGGCCTTCCAGCACAGCATGACTCAGTGGGTTTAGTGAGCAGGTGCGCAACCCCACACATTATGTAACCACACCACATGAGGCACATTAGGTGATCATTCATGTGAACTTGTGCTTGGCTCAGAGCTACTATTGTCTGTAAAAGGTATAACTACCCTGCTGATGCTATACATATACAGCTTGCACCTGGGCTTGTGCCCAGAGAGAGAGAATAGAGCCATGTCCAAAACTCTCTCTGATTCCTTGAGTGTTCTTCCAGCTGCCTGTCACTCATTCACCCACTCCAGCTTGGGCTAGAACCTGACACTTGGTGTGAGAGGTGGCCCCAAAAAGAATCCAAATGAAACTTTTTGTGCTAAAGCTTTATTTTCGGCCCTTCATAACTTGCATAAGCCTTATGTGATAATCCATTTGTAAATACCAAATTAACTGGGCAAAAGCTCATGGCAATAACCCAGGATGTTTACTGCTAAGATTTTGGAAAATATTAGGGTGCTGGGATACTTTTTTTTTCTGTTCAGTAAACAATTCTTAAAGACCCTTTAAAAAGGGCCACCTACGTGATAGGCAACAAATTATAAGAGGGATATAGTTTGATGTATTTCTCTTTCCTCCTTTCGAGTGAGGGAGCTGGAAGGGTCAGCCATATCTCATCTAGACCATGTGTTTGTCATTATCAAAGCATGCTTATCTTAAGGTCTTTCAGAGACAAGGATGAATTTCTAGCTGGTTTGTCAAAAAAAAGGTTTTCTGGCTGAGCGTGGTGGCTCACGCCTGTAATCTCAGCACTTTGGGAGGCCAAGGTGGATGGATTGCTTGAGCTCAGGAGTTTGAGACTAGCCTTGGCAACATGGCAAAACTCTATCTCCACAAAAAATACAAAAAAATTAACCAGGCATGGTGGCACATGCCTGTAGTTCCAGCTACTTGGGAGGCTGAGGACAGGAAGATTGCTTGAGCCCAGGAGATCAAGGCTTCAGTGAGCCATGATCACGCTACTGCACTATAGCCTGGTCAACAAAGTAAGACTTTGTCTCAAAAAAAAAAAAAAAAAAAGTTTTCTAATTATGCTAGGAGTCTCATTCCAAAGAGTAACATCATTCATGCCCTGCAGTTTTTCCTGATGTGTGACACAATTTCCTGTGATTAAAATCATAGGACTTTATGCTGCCTTTGACCTGACAGGCCTGTTGAGACAAGGAAAACATAAACGTGATGGGACCTGACTCATCTCACAAACCTAGGCTCGTTAATACCTAAATTCAAAAACAATACAGCCGCTATTCAGTCTTTGTAAAATGGTTCCTGTTGATTTACTTTCTCTAGGCCTGAACTTTATTCCAGGACATTTCATAGGTTAAGACAGAAGCCAAACATTTGCAGTGATTACTCTTGAAGAAGCACTGGATGTTGAAGATGTGTTTTAATTTCCTCATATTCCCCCAGAGAGGCCAAGGCTGAGGTATACCAGGGTCAGGGCTTAGGTGCATTCGTTTAAAGTAGTTTCAGTTGTTTTGTGTTTCCCCAGGAGAGAAAAGTAATTTTATTTATTAATTCATTATTTTTTTAGGCAGAGTCTCACTCTTTCACCCAGGCTGGAGTGCAGTGGTACGATCTCGGCTCACTGCAACCTCTGCCTCCTGGGTTCAAGCGATTCGTGCCTCAGCCTCCCAAGTAGTCTCTGAGACTATAGGTGCACGCCACCATGCCCTGGCTAATTTTTATATTTTTAGTAGATATATATGGTCTCACCATGTTGCCCGGGCTGGTCTTGAATTCCTGGCTGCAAGTGATCCACCCGCCTCGGCCTCCCAAAGTGCTGGGATTGCAGGCACGTGCCACTGCGCCTGGCAGAGCAGTCATCTTGAGAGAGGACAGGCAGATATTCTCAAATGCCGTGGCTGAAATCCAGCCCAGACCAACAGCACCCAGGACATGATGATCCCTGTTCACAAGAAGCCTATGGCCAAGAGGCCCAGACTTGGTAGTGATGAACAAAATACAGAAATCTTTCCTGCCATCCCCAAGATATCTATTCATGAATGTCAGTGTATTAAATATATGGCCAGGTGCAGTGACTCATGCCTGTTATCCAAACACTTTGGGAAGCCCAGGCAGGAGGATCACTTGAGCCCAGGAGTTCGAGACCGGCCTGGGCAATGTAGTGAGACCCCTCCCAACTCTAAAAATATATTGAAACATAACCGAGCATGGTGGTGCATACCTGTGGTCCCAGCTACTCAGGAGACTGAAATGGGAGGATTGCTTGAGCCTGGGAGGTTGAGGCTGCACTCCAGTCTGGGTGACAGGGTGAGACCCTCTCTCAAAAAAAAAAAAAAAAAAAAAAAAAAACACACACACACAATAAAATATGAAGATTAGATCAGGTGGGGTGGCTCATGCCTATAATCCCAGGACTTTGGGAAGCCAAGGCAGGCAAATTCGTTTGAGCCCAGGAGGTCAAAGCTGCAGTGAGCTGTGATCGTGCTACTGCACTCTAGCCTGATTGCTGCAGCAAGCCCCTATCTCAAAAAAAAGAAATAAAGTATGAAGATTGTAACACTTACTCTCTGCTTTGAATACTGTCAATAGATGATCTGAAATTAATTCTTCCACTGAAGATTCCAGCTTCCTTTCTCCATCAATTATCCAAGGAGTTTGTGGTAGATTCCTGGAGTATTTATTATATCTCCCTGAGAAATAAAGAATCATGTAGCCTGGATGGAATGGAGTGATTAACATAATGTGATAAAAAGGGAAGCAACAACTATTTAAGGAGTAAATAAATAAGAGCCCATATCCTAAGGGCTAAGATATAAAACAAGGCCTATCCTTTACCTAACTAACAATCCAATTTAGAGACCTGGCACATAGACATGTAGATAATTAAACAGCAAGGTTTAAAGTAACAATGGAACAGATGGGTAAATACATGACATGAATGGTGCATCAAATGAATTTGAAAGGAATACTCAATATATTTAATTTCATTGGCTGACTGAACAAGTTATATAATCTTATGAATGCACCAAGGATTAAAAAAACACGCACACACAAGCAAACTTGCTTTTATGCCTGATGAATAAAGCTATAGCAAGGCAGGTAGCTTTCATTGCCCTAAGATAGGATATTATAGTCAAGGCTGAAGAGCAATTTCACTTCAGCTATTGCTATAAAACAGTTGTAACTTTCAGACAAAACTCTGTCTGCCAGATTACCTTTTGGGAAAGTAAATAAACAATTTCTTTCTAGTGGAAGCCAAGTGTTTAGTTATTTTGGAGATAATAAATTGTTTTTTCAAGTTTGCTTTTATGTTATAAAATAACCTCTGTCCTGCTATTTTTCTGCAAACCAGTTTTGGGTCTCCGCATCTACCCATATTTCTGTTTGGCTATCTCTGATGAAAACTATTAAAACCTGGGAAGTGCCATTTTTCTTTGGCATGGCATTTAAAATTACTGATCTCCTGAGTGATTCTTTAGAATGCCCACAAAACCTCAAATAAGCTTGGCTATCAATGCTACTTCTCAAGAGAGTAAACTTACTAGAATTTAATAACAACAAGAATAAACTAGAACAGGAGTCAGTTATCAGAAAGGAGAGTACGTTCACAGTGTATGTAGTATATTCTAGACTAAATATTTTACCAGCCACAAAAACAGCACCATGAGCACATTCAATTTCAAGAACAGTGCATGTAGACTTTGGTGAGTTTGGAGGACAAGGAAACTGCCTGAAAAACAAAATAAATATTATAGCTATTTTCTAGACATAATATTGAATCACAAAACTTAGATGAATCAGCATTGTCTGAGACACGCACAGAGCCCAAGTCTCCCGCTAACTTTTAGTTTCGGAACAATATAGGTCTTGCAGGCCTGTGGAATACCACTTTTAACATATGAGAGTGGCAGTAAGTACATAAGGGCTCTGCTGCTACCTTTCACCCTCAGGAGGCATTATCCTTCCAGGCAAAAACCTCAAGTACTTTTGCACCAACCTAATGCTTTCCAAAAGCCTCAAGATTTGAGGGAAAAATCCATACATAAGAAGAGGAAGCCCCTTCAGGCTCATTTAACCATTTTGCTGTCCATGGTCACCTGCAGTTTACTGCTGACTCTACCCTCCTTATCACATCATTGTTTAAAATGTATTGAAGGATCTTCTGGAAAGAAAACTACAGTAATATTTTATTTAATAAAATGAATGTAGTGAGACTTAAAATGTAGGGTTTATTGCATTTATTTTATTTTAGCATATTTTAACAAGTGAGGAAACTCATGAGCCTTCCTCTGCCCCTTCTGGAGATGAACGATACTAGGAAATACAGGACTAAGGTTGGGCTAGAATGTCAAGAAATCTGGCTCCAGATCCACTCTCTTACTAGCTTAGGCGAGTCAACTCCCTCTTTGGATACCAATACCCTCTTCAAAATAAAGAAATTAGACTTGATTCGGCTGGGGGTGATGGCTCACACCTGTAATCCCAGCACTTTGGGAGGCTGAAGCAGGTGGATCACCTGAGGTCAGGAGTTCAAGACCAGCCTGGTCAACATGGCAAAACCCCGTCTCTACTAAAAATACAAAAAATTAGCCAGTGAGTGGTAGCACGCACCTATAATGGCAGCTACTTGGGAGGCTGAAGCAGGAGAATCACTAGAACCCAGGAGGTGGAGGTTGCAGTGAGCCGAGATTGCTCCACTGCACTCCAGCCTGAGCAACAAAAGTAAAATTCCATCTCAAAAACATAAATAAATAAATTTTAAAAAGTTAGACTTGATTCATAAATTCAAACCTGAATTTGACAAACATTTACTGAACACCACTACATGCCAGGTACTGCACCAGGGGCTGGAGAGAAAACAGTGACTAAGACACAGTCCTGGCCCCTGAATACGCCATCTTGTTTCAGGGTAATCCAGCTTATTTCTAACATTCCCTTTATTCTAAAATTTCATCATGCTTCATTGTTTCTATACTTCTACTTACTTAAGGAAATCCTCTTCTTTTATCTTATTCAAGGCTTTCATAACTGCCATTCTAGTGAATACAGACTATATAGGGTAAAATGAGAAGAAAAGACATTTTACTATCCAGACAAGAAAATGTCAGAGGTAAAACACAGAGCATGGTTGGAGAAATTATATCATTTCATATAACAGGGAGAAATGCTTAAGCATTTCAAGAAAACAAATAAAACTTAAGCATTCATGTCAGCTCTGCAACTGGCATTCCTCTGCAGCCTTCTCTTCAATCTGGTCTATGTCTATAATAACAGGTAGATCTAGCAGAGCAGGTCTCCTTCACTACACTGTCCCACTTCCCTCAAATTATGGTATAATTCAAATACAAAAAATGGTGACACTGTAGGAAATGTGATTTAATTTCTTTTCCCCCTTGACCTGAAGAGGAATTTAGATTGATTCAGCTACCTTTTCTTTCCTACGTCCCTTCAGAGGCTACGGTATGTAATTTAGGAGTTGGCTGCCAGAGTAAGCGGTAAAGCAGAGCCAACCTGCCTGCCCTGGCATCTAGCAACTCAGTAGCAATCACCAGCCACAAAGTAAGCAAATCCACTGTACTGAACAGAAGGGCGTCTACAACAAATGTTCCACTTGGGTTTATTAAGATAAGAAAAGCCAAACTGTACAGTAGACATACTATAACTAATTAGCACATATATACATGGCTTACTATGATAAATCACAATTATTTCTTCCGTTATGAGAAACTGCATTTGACTGAAAAGGATTACAATGTAGGCAGCCCAACAGTTTATCACCAGTCAAAGGAATGATTTTTTTCAAAACCATATTCTAGGGAACACTATGGCATTCTATAAGATACCATAGGGTTACAGCTGAAAATTTCGTGCCTAATTGATAAGATATGAAATCTTAGACCTGTAAAAAAATCTCAAAAGGTCATTTAATTTGCTCCCAGCCACGAGGCAAGAAAATTATACTTGAGACTCTACAACTCCCACTGGCCAAATGGTGTGGTGTCTATGATGCTTTAATAAAAATCTCCTTATCCTATTACTTGATGCCTATTATTATATTTTCTCAAGGGTAAATAAAATAAAACTAGATCTTCAATATAGATACATCTAACAGGTTATCTGGACAGAGCTTCCCAACTGGCATGGCAAAGCAGTGGACTATGGTTGTGCCAAGATGTTGATTTCTTTAGTTCACAAGGGCTGTTGAACAGGGCCTCATACAGTGGAAACCCCAGGCCTGGTGCTGCCAATCTGAAGCAACTCCATCTGTTAACCTCAGGGTGCTGAACAAACATGGTAATGTTCTAGATGTACCATGACATGAGAAAAGTAGGGAGCTCCTGCTTTAGGCTCAGTCTGCATTTCTAATTATTTCTGCACAGGGCATTCGGCAAATGTTACAATCTTTTTCCCCCAGTTCTAAAAGACCCAGCAATTAGTCAAAGCAAGAGGCAAAACCAACAGATGTATATGTGACAATGAACTTATGTTCTTTTTAACAATCACAACAACAAAATGAATGTCAGTGAAACTTTAGGAATGCCTGAGTCTGTGTATGAAACCACCTATGAAACTGGGGCATGAAAGATTACCAATATTGCACCATATCATTCTATCCTGACATGATACGAGCTAAAAGTATATGTTAACCAATTTGATCATTAACATGAAGATCAGCTAACATTAAGATGATAAAGAAGAGTTTTAATAAAATGCCCTTTTTGCAAATGTAGCCCGAAAGAGGCCATGTTAATTCAGGACTGTCCTAAACAAAATAACTTACTTTGGATTATATATTCTAAACATCAGTTTCTACAAAATGGATGTTAGCTGAAAGTTTGTAATGCTGCTGATACTTAACATGGATTTTCCCAGATGATGTAATTTGGGGGATTAAAATCTAAACATCGAATTTAATGAGTAATAGTAACATCACTGAAACACTCGTTCTAAATTTAACCTTGTCAGGGAACAATCTAGACACTGACATAAACATGAGGATGTTTGTGTGCTAGCCAGAGGTGAATGTTGAAAAAGTTGAAAAAAAATTAATGTAGCAAATGGAAATATTTAGACTGATTCTTAGTATAACAGAGTTGCTATGTTTTTTGTTGGAAATTTGAATATTCAGCTCAGACAAAACTCACTCAAGAGTAAGAAATGGGAACCTGTCCTTACCTGTTTGTTTTTGGCTGGCTTAAAACAATCTGGGCATTTCGCAGCTCTAAAATAAAATTCAAGTTCATATAAAAGGTTATTGAGTTTATTTTGGGGTGGATATAATTCAAATATATTTTATACAAAATGGCTGCTAAACTCAGGTCATCAGGAGCAGACAAAATGAGTCCCTGTATGAACTACATTGGTTTGCCCAGGAACCTATGTTTGAGGGCACATTTTACTTTATTTTTTTTGAGGGCACATTTTAAACCTACTAAGATATAACAAGTTCTAAAATGCTTATTAGGAAGAGAAGCAATACTATTTTCATGAAAGCCAAACAGCATTAACAATTTTACACGATTGACATTGTTGTTTACATGGCAACTTACAGGAAGTGGCAATCCTCAACTGTTTCTGGGTGAGCAAAGACCACACTCACTTCAAACAAGCTCTAAAAATTATAAAGACAGTTTAAAAATGAGCAAAAGGAAACTAACATCTAACAACATATGAATAGAAATAGAAATTAACTCTTAAAGATTGGTTCAGAAAAGAATGACCAGAAAACCTGGAAATACTACTGCTCTCAAATCAACTTGTTCATAGGGCAGCTGTAAAGGAAATCGTTTTTTGTTTTTTGTTTTTAACTTCTAAAACTCAGTCGTTAGTGATCCTACCAAAAAAGTTTTAAAATAAATTTGTATACTTTTTGGATAAATGTGTAAATTAGGTCTAAAGGTGAATGACAATTTACAGAATTGAAAATAAATAATAAAGGAAAGAAATGAAGAATTATTCTGCCAATACTAAGATTTGAATTATTAGCAAGGCAAAAAACATACTATTCCCATTCCTAAAAACTGTATGAAGCTTCTTTTTAAAGTGCTCAAACATCTTAAAGGATTTGAGTTTTAAAAGCAGATCTTGCCTGGCGCGGTGGCTCAAGCCTGTAATCCCAGCACTTTGGGAGGCCGAGGCGGGTGGATCACAAGGTCAAGAGATCGAGACCATCCTGGTCATCATGGTGAAACCCCGTCTCTACTAAAAATACAAAA